TAAATTATATTAATATAAAAATTTTTTAATTTTAAAAATATAAAAAAATCTAAATTAATTATCTTAAACATTGCTAAGTACTAAAAAATAATGATTTATAATATTCGTTTTATTTTCATTTTTTAATTATTTATATAAATTAAATTTTCAATATAAATGAATGAAATTATAGATACTTTATAAATTTAAAAATAATATAATAAATTTAAATTTAAAAATAGGTAGCGAGAGTCCATCATATTATATTTTTTAAATTTACACAGAGTAATTTATTGGAAATATGTAATTTCATTACTTTTTATAACATATAAATATAGTATTTAATAATATACATAATTTTATTTAATAATTTAGTTTCAAATAGACTATAAAAATATACATGCATATTCAAAATAATAAAAATTATTATAATTACATTTTAACATATATTGTAATATTTATATATTTGTATGTTTCATATATGAACAAATGTTTATTCATCTTTTCTAATATTCGTTTCTAAAATATATAGCATTTCCACAAATTCTATGTTTAATTATATAATAATATTAATAATATTATATAATTAATATAATAATATTAATATAATTATATTAATAATAAATAATTATAAATATATGTTAAAATATATTTTTTTTCTATTATTCAATATAATATATGTTATTTATTTATTATTATTATTTGATTGCATTGTAATCGACAGACCCTTGCACCTGCATTTATTCATATTTTTCATATAAAAAAAAAAATTACATCATACACAAACGACAATAGGCAAATGAAATAAATTATGTAAGTTTTTGAAACATTTTCAGATACTTGCATATAAACGATTTCTGTATTATCATTTTACTTACTTATATCTCCTTGATCTTCTTCGTCATTCTTGTGTTGTCTACTGCTAAATATTTATTTATAAAAATATTATTTGATTACATATGAAAATGATAATATATCATTATGATGTTAATAAAGTTAAGACTAAAAATATTGAAAATATAATGAAAATTATAATTGCGATTGTGATTATGGAATCGTTATTAATAAAGAAAATAATGATATATCAAATTCATAATTAAAATAATAATGGATTTAATGAAAACGATATCATATATATATATAATCATATATATATAATAATGATGATGATTAGTGGTTATTTTTATAATATCAATGTAGATGTAAAAAATAATATAAATATGAAATATTATGAAAAATAATAAATAAAAGAAACGTACATAATGCAACAAATAAAATATTGATATAAAATAAAATTAATAATGATATAATATGATTAAGAAACTGAAGCAATATTAATAAGAGAATATTATCATAATTAATTACATTATAATAACATTAGCAATAAAAGAAATAATTAAAATAACATTATCTGTATACTGATGTTATAAATCATTCTAATTTAATAATATTAATCTTATTAATTAATAACAAGAGTAATGCTATATAACAAAAAATAGAAAGATTTATACTATTATCATTGAATTAGTATCATTGAAAGATTAATTAATTTCAATGAATAATAATAATAAATTTGAAATAATAGAAAATAATATATAATTATAAAATATAATTATTTCTTTTAAATTATTTTTTTTTAAATATCTCAAATTCAATATTTAAAATTATTGAAAAAATATAAATTAAGCATATTCTATATATAAATTTTCAAAAATATGTCTTTACATTGATAATATATTTAAATACATTTAAATCGGACTATTAAATTTTGTATGAAAATATACAAATAAAGTAATTTAATCTATTAATTAATTATTATATATTAAATATTTATAATGTATTAGTTTATGTATTATATTTTAATTATTTAAACAATATCAATATATATATCTTAAAGGAAATGAAAATTTTTATTGATTTTTTATAGAATTATAAAAAAAAATGCAATAAGCATATGCTATATAGATAGTGAAATAGATTTGGCAGTACATTGTTTTTTAGAGTTTTCATATATTTTAAATATGAAATAGAATATGAATTTTTAAAGAAATATCATCGTTCTAAAAAATTAGTAAATATTAATTCCTGTAAATACTATTATTTTTTTTTAATTATTTTTATTTAAAAGATTAATTTGTTTATTAGCTTTCCTTTCTTTAATAATATCATTATTAGGATAAAGATATCATATAATTATGATGGTGATGTCAACAAGGATAACAATGATAATGATAAAATTGAGGCAAAAGAGTTAATGTAATACTAGTAATGATGATGATAATGATGATGATGATGTCATTAACAACAACAACAACAACAACAACAACAACAACAACAACAACAACAACAACAACAACAACATGATAACAATAATGATAATAATAATGGTAATGATAATAATGATAATCATAATGATTATAATGATGATAATAATAATGAAATAAAATTAAAGGAAATTTTTCTGGGCATTCACATAGAATACAATAACAAAAATAATAATATTAGCAATAATGATGATGGTAATGACAACAATACTACTACTACTAATAATAATAATAGTAGTAGTAATCGTCGTAGTAATAGTAGTAGTAGTAGTAACAGTAGCAATAGCAGCAGCAGCAGCAATAGCAGCAGCAATAGCAGTAGCAGTAGCAGTAGC